GAAGCTATGTACACGGTTAATGATTGCTGTTGATTGCTGATGGTTTGGGATGGCTAGTTTTTATCCAACCACAAGCACCTTTTTTTAACATCAAAATCACGCACGTGTGGCCCTACTTTGGCGCCCATGACCCTCATCGACTCCTCAAAATTAGGATCTCTGGCCACGAGCATATCACGGATTGCTTCTAGTTGAGAGTGTTTTTGAAGTTCGCTTCGAATATTTTCAGGCTGAATAAATCTGGAAGGCTTTCTGATTTTTTCACAACTTTACAACCACGAGGTATAGCGCTCATAATAATGTTAGAAGGATAAACCGGCAGGTAAATTACTCCTTTAAAGTTAGCTAAAATAACAGAGTGTTTTTGCCTCTATTGCTCCGAAAGTTCAGGCCTCCATGTTTTCATTATAAATTCTAAGTCCAAGCTGCTGTTACTGCTGTTAATCGCTGGCTAACGAGACAAGAGTTTAAAAAAACTTTTAAATGAATTGTTCAATTTCATTGAGTGAACGGGAATCAACATACTCGGTTCACATTCAGCAATTACTCCGACTGTTTTTGCGCTTTTCTGATTGCCGACCCTCGTTATGCAGCGCCATCCGATTGTTGTTTAACCGCATGCATCCACTCCTTCATCGGGTGGGAAAGGTTGCTTATAATTGCACACTGCACTACGATTGTTTGAAAGTTCCATGTTTCTATTTATAGGCAAATAAATCGACGTAATTTTGAAAAGAATAACCGAGGGATTCAATTTATTCTCGTTATTGTGAATGCCTTATCGCATCTGTAACTCCGTGGGCTTACCCCATTGATTGTCCTGAAAGGTAATCCGCTATGCCCATTTCGCCCCGGGCGTATAAAGTATTGCAAAATGGACTAGAATGTTACAATTTATTCACCGGGTCTGGCGGCTAAACATTACTTTTTACTTCCTATTTTTTTTCGTTTCGCAAAGTTAATGTTACCAGCGTCTTAAGATCCGTTACTACCTTTAAATTTCTTCAAAAAATATGAAATAATCTGCCTCTGCACCACGGTTAACAATTTTAGTTCGTTCGTTGAATACTTCCGCCCCGCCGCATTTAAGACTCGGAAGGCAAATGATATCGGTCGCCAACCTTCGGGGCTAAGTTGTTCTGGCGTCAATAACAACGCGGATGTCTTTATGGAACTGGAATTGCTTAAACTCCACAATATTGGCAACCTGCTTTTTAACACCTCGAAAGCGGCCTGCCACTCCGGGGACCAGAAAAAAAAACTTTTATTTCTTGAAATTGGCGGTAACGGCGCCGAGTAATCTGAAAATGCCGGCAAGAATATGTCTACGCTATGGATCGATAGCAGAAAAAATTTCAATTGCGAGAGCGTCTTCGACAGTAGTAACTTGTCAATTAGTTCAGTTTATCTGATAAGTGGGGGCTATACTCAGTTTTGTGATTTGAGGGCCTAGCCAATCGCACTCCGATTTTACGAATTCGCATTTCGACAGTTTCAATTCCATATTTTGGCGAACAATTTTTCCAATGTCTTCTTAACCGTCCGTTGCATTCATACAATGTCCGGTCCTTTTGAAAGGATGAAACTGTCACTGATAAATGCTTGGGCGTACGGAAATTCGCTTAAGATAGAAGTCGTCGTTATTTGAAATTCCGCCGGCAACCTTGTTAGTCCGTAGAAATCTGTCCTTAACCTAAATATACCAGTGAAATTCCCTCGACTAAGTAAAAATTACTATTATTACTAGTCTCCACACTTAGCGGGAGCTGCCTGTAAGCTTTATTAGGTTCATGGGCGTAAACTTGAGTCGATTTTTTCTCGGGTGTTATTTTTATGTACTTGTTTATTTAGTTCCCGCGGTTCGAGCGCTAGTTTTACCGATCCGTTCTTTTGAGCGTAATTACTCTGGGCGTGGGTGATACAAAGTACTTATCCGAGCATTCGTTGAGTTTTTCAAAAAGCTTTGTTCTAAAGCTAATTGATCTTCTTATCAACTTTTTAGTTAGCGTGATGGGTAAAAGCCTTCCTCTTTGATCCACCGGTAATAAATTATTGAAGAATTCCGCCTCATTTTTATAATTCTGAAATGTTTTTACCCTTGAAAAGAAATTGCTATTTTTCTCGCTGAACTGAGTTTGCCAGTAATCCAGCGACTTGTTCTTAATCATTTCTCAACCTTAATTCTCTGAGGGCCCTCGGAAGTTCATCGCCCCGCCTGCGGTTGCCTGAACTAACTGCATTTCCAACTGCGGCATTAGATCTCGTCCGATCATTGACGGTCTGCAACCCCCGACCACAATGATGTTCGTCTCGGTCGAACACCCGTAAGAATAAACAATCACCTTCATCTCTCCCTTCAATTTCAGCGAATTGATTCTGTAAACCCTGAAATTTCGTTCGGTCCCAATGGCGATAGCTGCACGAAATTTGCTCCTAAGGTACGCTTCAGCTCCCCGATGGTTAAACTGAGACAGACGACCCACTGTCGATCCACGCTTGTGGATCGAGCCTTCCGTCAATTTTTTGTGGTAATTTTGCCTCCGCTTCCTTTACTCGTCCTTTTTGCTGAGTGGCCTTTACGATACAGTCGTTCGAAATGTCCGCGTCCTATCCATGGGATCCCGGTTGCTGGTCGTTGACCCACCTTATTGAATTTTCATGCTGTGATGAAACGTCATCGTGTTCCATAAATTGTTTACCAGAGCCGTCCTTGCCATATATTAGTCCGATCCGGCTTCGATTCGCCTCTCATTTCCCTCAGTAAATCCGTTCGTATTGCCCCGATTTTTGCAAAAGTTTCAAGTTGCATGTCTGGCTGTACACTTCGCAGTATGATCAGTCGTGAACCCGCTTTGATCGGAATTATAGCAGCGTCTATCCTCGCCGTCCCATGCGATTTCTCGGTACAATCTTTTTCCGCTCCTTTGGGAAGGTGGTTAGTAGTCCATTTGATACAACTCGAGCGTTTCGTTTCACTCCATTTCACATATTTATTTGAAATCGCGTAAAATCCGCGGGTATCGTATTGTCGCAAGTTCAAATGTGGTTTCCGATTATGTAAACCATCATGTCCGCGTTCGCCTAAAAACAAACATATGTTCGAAATGAGCGCCTGTTCCGCCTCTACGCAATTTTTCTGAACACCATTGCCAGTACCGCAGTCACTTGTGCCGCCGTCAATCGTTTATCAAAGTAGAACGAAGTGGGGTTAAACACGTGTTTGGCAATTACGCGCGACATAAATCGATTCGTCCAGTGTTGCAAAACATTGGGGGTTCCACACAAGTACTCGACCAGATTGCCGTTATCCCCAGGGGGTTTTTCCTCCCCTGACTCCGTTTCCTGCTGTCTGCACCTTGTGAAAAATGCAGATCCGGTACTTTAATTCAGTATACAGGTTCAATGATAAATAACTCAAAACAATTAACGCACTCAACTGTTTCAGCACTTCGGGCATAAGACGTTGCTGGTGACTGGTACCAACTAGCAAGCACCAAAAGCACGAAGATCAACCAAAGGACTGAGCATAACTAACTGAATTTTTATACCTAAGTGACAACCGTTTTGATGATCGGAACAGCGGTTTTGTCAGTTTTTGTAGCATGCTGAAGATCTCGAAGCTTTATGATTGAGAGAAAAAGATGTATGAAGTGCAATTGTTTGCTGCTAGATTTCGGTATACTTATACCGCAGGGGTGAATAATCTATGCGCACTTCACTTCTACTCTGAATTCATAGCGTGTACGCATTGAGTTAATCCATGCACACAGATTTAAATCAAAAATATACGAATTCATCGTCATTCCGCCCTTATTTGAATTAGACATTTAAGCCAGCAATGAATCTACAATTTTCTCGAGAAGAAATACTCGAAAGCGCAGTCAGAAGGTTTTGAGCTTTATCCTTTTACAAGCAGTTTAACTTTGTTTCCGTTACAATGGCTAGAATTCGCTCTTTTTAGGTTAATGCTCAAGTATATTGGACTTTAGAAAAAAAAATGGGACGCCTGGGCTTTAGGTGATTTTTCTGTGATACAATCATGAGATACTTTATGGTGAATTGTTTCGTTTTGGTTATTGGAGACATTTTTCCTGAAAAAATCTGAAATTTTTCTGAAAGGTAAGTGTTAGCTTTAGCTTGGTTCGTTTTTTATTTTTCAAAGATTTGTCAATTTATCTGCTTGTGTTCTGTTAAGTATCTCAACATTTACATATTTCATAACGTTTCAGAGGAGCTTTCAGAGGAACTTCTAGGGGTGGGAGTTACAAAGTTGAAAAGGAACACTGACATGGAGTGAGTTTTGTTTCAGGCAAAATCAGGCATATAAACAAACATCCAAGAGATCGAGTCATATATCATACGCTTAGCCCACAGAAACAAAAAAAAATCGATAGAAAATGTTTCAAGATTTTTCAACTTTCAAAACTCCAAGAAAAAAATTTATCCAGAACAATTTATGATTGACATTTTTTATGAGAAAACTGACCCAATTTATGAAAACTGGAAGATTGGAAGTTTTTTATTTCGCTTGGGGAAAAATCAATCTTCGATTTAGTTCACACTTAAGGCGTGATTCTGATTCTAGAAAAAAATTGCCTCGGTGCCGACAAAAGCTGGTCTGAGCAATTCCGGTTGTCAAATTTTTCAGTAAAGGATTCGAAATGAATTCCAACAAAACCTATACTCCAATTTGTTTCAAGTAAGATTTTCAAACACATTGGTCTATAACTGAGTTAAATTTATTTAATTTGTAGTTAATTTCAACTCATCATCCTAACGGAGATTTGTTGAATTTAATTTAATGTTGGGCAAACTAGATATGCAGTGCATGATATTAGATATACAGTACACGAGTCGGACACGCGAAAAATATGCAAACCCCGTTTGAGAATACTTCTTCTCAGCCAGTGGATTTCATCCAGCGTTGAGTCATTTATGAAACAAAAAAACAATAATTCTGATAAAAGAGCATTACTAAAATGTTTTTTTTTGTGACTAACCCAACGCCCTGAAGAGTCCTTCGCGTGCATTTTGTTGTGCCATGGCGGATGATGGTCTCTCGTTGTACGGATTCCCAACCCCCGCCCCATCCCCCATTCCAATATCAACATCCTTCTTCAGTGCCTTCGGTCCCCGGGGTCTCCGCTTGTACTGCTTCTGAAGCGCGTCTATCATAGCCCCACTGCATTCCGAGAACTCCTTGCGGAAGTTCCGATCGAGCACTCGGTCTTCGGCAATTATGTTCTCGTATTTCTCCCGGTAGTCGTTTAGCTCGTTAGTTGCGACTCTCTGGTTAGCAACTGCTCGCAGCTGAAAAAAAATCATTGTTTCTAATTTCGATTTTAATGTTTCACTGGATCCAAAAAAACTGTCTCAAACTGAATATCCAATATTGGGCGCCATTTTCAAAAATTCTGTTTCAAAGTCTGAAACCAGTTACGATATCCAACAAAAAATTGATTAGGGTGGCCCAACGCAAAACTGTTAGCTCTCATTTCATTTATCATAACTGTTCATCCTCCAAAATATAAATGATCCCTGTATACCTTTTCTTCTTTGACAGCCTCCAGATCTTTCAAAATAGCCGCTTCCTCTCTTTCCAACTGCTCTTCAACTAGCAATGACTGCTGCATTCTGACAATCTTCAGCTCTTGATGGAAAACCGCAATTTCAACCTGCACCTTCTTGTTAAACAGCTGTGTCAGCTGCTCATCAAAGGAGTTCTCACTTTCAGAGTTCGACTGTTGCAGTTTGCGCAGTTCGGCCTCGAGTTGTTTGTAGAACTTCTCTCGTTCCTCGATAAGCTCGGCAACTTTCCGATCGTACTCGGCTTTGGCTGCCTTCTCCTCGGCAGTGTATTCGGCTTCGGCTTTTCCAGCAGCCAAGAAAGCAGGAATCGGGACATCCTAAAATATACCACGAAGTTTTAGTAACCTAACCAATAACAGTTCTCTTACTGGCCAATTTCAGGGCTTAAAACTTTATCTGTAATCTTAGTGGTTCAAAATCTGCAATTTGTAGAAATTCTATGACGTATAGACCTTTAAAACAAAATTTGGATCAATAAACTAATTGTTTATTATTAAGTCATCCAAAATGTAAAGACGTATTTTGTATTGTTTTTCTATATTAAAGTCTTTGCAAATCCTTTATCCTTTTTTAACTTTGTTTTCTTTCTGTCTACCTTTTTGAGTTCATCTTCCTTCCTGATTTCAAGTACTCCTCCCATCATCTGGTCCAGACCCCTCTCTCGCCAGTTGTCCTGGAGAGCAGCTAACCTCCTCTCCTCTTCCAGCTTCTGTTCCTCCTCCAGACGGGCCTTCATCTCGGGAGAGAGATAGCGTTCCACTTTGACCTAGATGAAACAATAGTATTAACAGAAGCGTACCTAGGATTTTCACGAGGACGTGGGATTTTCAAAAAAAATCCGAAATGTTTGTTGACCTTTTTTTAAGGTTGAACCAAATTGATTTTCCGAACGCTCCCCAAACACTATAAAGACCCTATGTTGACAAAACTTTCTGCACCGCAGGCACTTTTTGGAAAGTTTTGACCAGCAAATCGCGTTGTTTTTGGCTGGTGCACTCCTTCAAAATTAGTGCATAGTGCGCCGAAGGTTTCGAAAAACTTCCGGGTTGATTAGCCAAAAATGGATGTCATAAAATAATACCAAAGGGGCGACCATTTGGTTGGTGTGGAGGTGGAATCCCTTTAATCTGCCCCTGGGTGTTAATATTGCAGTTAATCATATATACATGAATTACAAGTTTGATGAGAACGAATACTTAAGTTAAAAGAACAAAAATAGTTTTTTGAAAAATAGAACACTTTTTTGAAGTTTTTAATGCTCGCAAAATCGGGCTTCTTAGTTAGAAGTTGTCCTAATTTTTAAGGAGAAAAATTCGACGAACATGAAATTAACTCTTGAAAACTTCTAGCAGGGAATTAAATACGGAATCAAACATAAACAAGAACAAAGAACAACAAAAATGAAATGAAGCTTACCTTGGTCTGTAAACAAGGAATTTGACTACTATGTAATAGTGCTAGTCAATCTCGGTACAGTACGTAGATATTGGCTATTTATAATCACACTATCTTATCATTTTTTGTGTTTTGTCGCCGATAAAAGGCCCAAATATTTTCTCATCATACCTCGGAGTCTTTGACGACCAGATTCTCCTCTGGTTTCTCTTCCAGAGTCCAGTCCACATTCTTGATCTGCTCGTCCATGTTGAGGTCGGAGAGGATCTTACCGATGCGGGCATTCCGGTCGTTGATCCTGTTCATCTCCTGCTCCTTCCCCCGGAACACTTCGTCGAAGTCCTTGTTGAACGTGTTCTTCAGACTGTGGATCGAATCCTAAAATAGAACGAGACTGATATTTGCAATGTTTAAGTATAGTGGGTGATCATTATAGTGTATAGTGGGTAGTTATGTCCCCGTCGCTTCTCGGAAACTATACTAAGCAAATTTGAGAGGAAAAAACAAGCCATCGGTTACTAGCTTTAGCGAAAAAAGAAGTGGATATTTTTTCTGGGTTGGAGACATTGATTTTCGATTTCAAGAAAGGAAACCTTTAAATACAACACTGAACACACGGTAGATTGGCACATAGTTCATTCAAACTCTACAATATGTCAGGCGGCAACACGACAACACTTTTCCAAGACAAAAAATCCAGTTTTCCAATATTTCAAAACAATTCAAAGGTGATTAACTATTTAAGGACTTTGACAGCACTGTAACCTCCAGGTGGCATACAAACGAGCCAAGTATTGACCAGCAACCATCTAAGGGAGCCGGAAGTACTTAAAAATTGCATATTATATAACGATGGAAAAAATATGCAAAAGTCACCACAAATGACTAAGCTTTGGCTGTTATATACACTCTGCTCTATTTTGCTTCGCTTATATTTCGGCTAGTTTGTTCAAACTTTTACCTTTAGTAGCACAATTTGGTTTATCTTCTGCTCCTTGGAGTGTATGTGCAGTTGGGGATATAGGAGTGGGTTGTGCCCCCCATACTTGGAACTGAGACTGCCGTCTGTGGAGTAGTAGACCCCCACTGCCTCCCCCTCCTCCTCCTGCTGCTCCTCCGCAGTCTCATCCTCCTCATCGTCCTTAAAAATGCAGATTTTTTAATTAGAATAAAAGCATCGATTAATGCAGAGGTTTGACATAGAGATGTAGATATATGTTACATTTGTAAAGAGGTTAGGAAATGATGTTTTGTTGGAGTTAACAGTTAGCATCTTTATTGTGGTTAGTTAAAGGTCTAAAATATTGCGGCATAAAGGCTCGACAAGCATGGGAGCGGCGGTGAAGTGGTTATGTCTCCGAATTTCAAAAGAAGGGTCGGATGTTCGAAGCCCAACATGATCCTTTCTCGCTGCTTGAGGGCGTAGCAACATTACTAAGCCCAGAAAAACAGACAAAAAATTGCATTTAGACCTTAAACAGAGGTTCTCCGTAAAAACCAGAACAGCTCATATGTTGATCCTTTCCCTTGTGGATAAATATAGTTAACAATTATGTCCCCGTTGGTTCTCGAATACTATACTAATCAAATTTTGGAGGACAAAAAACAAGCCAGCCATTGCTAGCTTTAAGGAAAAACAAGAAGTGGATGTTTTTAACCTTTGAACACAACACACGGTATATTGGCACTTAGTTCATTCAAACTCTGCAATATCAATATCAGGCGGCAACGCGACAAAGCTATGTAAAAAAGAACTCAGATGAACAACTGTTCAATTGCAGTCAAGACAGGGCAACAGTTGACAAAATCACAATAGCAGCTATGCAGAAAAAATTAAAGCAAAGGAAAATAAATCAAACAAAGTCAAGTAAAACAAAGCGTTTTTTATCAGCATTGCACTGTACAATCGGTAAAACTTAGAGAATTTGATTCCTCATAAAAATTGGCTTTGAAAACAGCAGTTGTATCAAGCAAACAACGCTCATAGAGAAAAAGCTAATAACAGGGAGAAAAAGCTAATAACAGGGAGAAAAGCTTCGCAGAAGGAAATTTTGCCGAATAAATCTAAAAACTGTGAGAAAAAAAATATTTCAGCGTTGAAAATCCAAAAAAAGATACACAGAAGCAAAACGGAGCTACGCATCACTTGAGATGCATCACAAAAAAATCACGACGGGCCATCACAAGAAATAAGGACAAACGCCACGAAAATCTATCGTGTTTTTAGCGCCATTTGTACTTTCCTTTTTGGAGAGCGTAATTTACCTTTTTTCAGCTACTGAATTGGGATTCAAACTGCGAAAAATTAAATGTGAGCTTGAACATGTTTGAAGACGTTTTGTTAAAATAACCCCCCCAAAAAATTGGAATTTCAGGACCTAACTGTTGGTCTTCATTTTTTAACGACACTTGAAAAGCAAAAACATAGCCAACAGACAGTTGGAAAAGAGTCAATGAACGCGTGTTAACAGAAAAAAAAATGACTTGTTTTTAGAAAAAAAAACTTCAACTTGCAAATTTCAAGGAAAAAATAGATGGCCTTGAAACTGTATGACTTTGTGAAACAATTTATGATGCCCCATTTCGGATATAAATTGCGAATTTTTTTAATTTCACTAGTTTTTTAATAAGCTGATAAACACTTTAATTTCACTACTTTTTTAGCTGATAAATTGTTCTAAAATGATTTACAGCAAAATTATTGGTCCAAAACTTTATCTTATATTTGAGAGCACTTTTGTTATAACCAAACCTACAAAACTTGAACCATAGCCAAATAACAGGTGGAAAAGAGTAATGAAAACAAGGAAACTGAAAAAAATGACTTGTTTTTTAGAAAAAAAACTTCAACTTGCGAATTTCGAGGAAAAAATAGATGGCCTTGAAGCTCTTTGAACAGAATAGGATCGGCACTTTTTCAATAAAATTAACCTAATTGCCTGCTGTTGCATTTTTGAAACAGTACTTCTTTGCGTTGGCAGATCAATGCGAGCAAACCTCAGTGCCACTTCTTTCCTCCACAGCGGTCAAAAAAATAATTGAGCTCAAAAATTTCCTTCAAAATGAAAAGACAAAAAAGCCTTATAAAAAAGTTTTAAAAGCTCACATCTTGTTGAAAACAAAATCGAGGGAATATAGCAACAGAAGCTCATCGAGCCAAAAAAAAGTGAGCCAAAAATCCAATAAACGGAAAACATCAGCCAGATTTCAATATTGCCGCCCAAAAACAGGAAATCAGCAAAAGACCTCAGAGACAAAGATATTTTTAAAAGTTTGGAAAAAAACGTATCACTGATTTTTTAACGCAAACTCTAACGAGAGCACGACATAAAGAAGTTTTATGAAGTGCGATAAGAAAAAGTTGAAATAAGCCTCGAGTTAATAAAAATTCGGACATGTCTCGTATTCGATCCTACGACCTACTGCGACCTAGAGATTATAAATCCCACGCGCTAGCAACTCAGTCACGGACGCTTAATTGATCACAAACACTACCCACAAAGAAAGCAGAGAACAGATGCTATGCAATTTCCAGTGTACAGTGAAATTTCCAGATAAGTGAACACTTTCAATGAGCAAATTTATGTGCGAGTTAGCTTAGAAAAAAGAAGGTTCGTAGTAATACACTACGCTGATCACATTCACTTCTTGTATCACATTGACTTCTTGAATATCATTAACCTCACGGATGGACCTACACAGTGGTGATATACTTGACAATATACAACACTTTGCTAACGGACTGAAAAAATCTCGCGTTGTATTAGACTCTGTTTATTGGAACTATCAGAGCACCACACACCAAACTATTCAAACTTGCACGATTTGACCAGAAAAACCCACGTAAAGATCTTCCAAAGAGCATTAAAAGGACAAAAAATAGAATCAGAATGATAGAGGTTGTGACGATGCGATGAACACGCACAACATTTTACCACGTCGTTATAGGTTTCTCCGTCATGAACGTGACTCCTAGTTGAGTCAAAAGTGGTATTTTTTCCTCCATTATGGGAAACGGAGGTTCCATCCCCTCCGTGGCTATTGGGAACTGTGGGGGAGTCCTGAGTTTCAGGGGCCACACCCCTGTAAGCCGTATCGTATCTTCCCTCTTGGACACTTGTCGAGGAGTCCGTGGCAAATGTGATGTACTGCAGATTTCAAGCATTCATGGTTACTTTTCACAAACAGAAGCAGTTAGTTAAAAACTTTGGCTAAAATAGCTTATAATTTTAGCTAAAACATTTCGGCAGAATTTGGATGAAATTATAGTTTGAAGCAAGCTTTCTAGCCTCTTGTGTAAGACAATCGTATTTGCAACATAAGTGATGTGAAAAATATTTTGCTGCTACAAATTGGAAAATTGTTCGTGCGAAAAATTAAAAAATTTTCGTTTTTTAGATTTTTGCATGAAATAGGCTTGGTCTCAAAGTTTCGCTTTCCGGCAAAATTGGGCAACTGATTCAAATCCAAAAAGAGTGCATAGCGTTGAATCAAACTAGAACATGACAAATAAAAATTGACACATTATTAATGAAATAAACAAAGAAACTCATTTTTGGTATAGATACAATTGAGACGGAAAGGATACTAAAAATGCAGTCCAATTTTTGCTCAAAACTTACATCTCTTTTGTCCTGTTTGGCCGCAGCCGCATCCACCATTTCCACTTTCCTCACCCTGGTCACAAATGCTAATTCCTCCTTCTCCTTTTCACTCCTCTCACACAGGGGGAAGTTGGACACTATCATGCCCTTGCCAAAACCCCGCAGACTCTTTCCCTTTATGGTCATCTTGTCCCAGCACTCTTGTTTCATCACACTACGCACGAACATTTTGGCCAGGTTTTCCAGTTCTAATGACTCGTAGGCCTATAAAAAAAACTGTGTGCATTGAAAATGTAATCCCGACAGAGTGTAAGGCGCGCGGAGCTGAGCAATGAGGGCCGTGGGTTCGAATCTAACTTCGACCCCGGTCTGAGGGATCCCAATTTCATCCGCATCCTCGAGGTTGGAGCGACTAGGGCGCAATGGACAACACCCCCTCCCCCTTGAAAACTGTGCAGTAGGTAGACTGGGGGCAACCAAAAAACGATGTTATCTCAGAAACTTTCTCAGGCCTTTGGAGCTTTGAAGACAAAAACTGTATAAAAAAACTTCAAAGCCTAGAGTATGAAATTCAATAGTTTTTACTGCGAATGACGCTGACCTTTGCCACTTGTTGGTCACCTTCTGCCTTCATTCTATTATAATCATCAGTGTCGAGTACAAACTCATTCCTCTCCAGTTTCTCAATATCAGGAGCCGCTTCATTGGATTCAATCATGGCCTCATGTTGCTTCCTCAGATACTTGATCTCAGAGAGGATCTCCCTTTTCATTGGCTCGTACGATTTGTCCTCCTCTTTGATGCCGGCTACCAGTGCTAGTTCCTTGCACGTGGGGTCACTGGAGAGATTGGGGAGGGGCACGCGGTAGTCATCATTGTCGTCACCCATAGCCTGAAACAAATTCTACTGAGCAGCCGGTTAAGTTTACTATTTCACAGATTGTATCTTGGCATCTTGCCTTAATGTCAAATTTTGTTCGGGAAAATAAATTAAATATTTTAAGCTAACGTTTGAAGAGTCCATATCTTCTATGACCTGCATGGGTACTGACTCTGACTTCATGGTCTCCAGCGCCTCATTCTCTCCCTTGGAGAACTGGAGGACCCTGGAGATGAAGTCCTTCTGCAGTGAGGCACACTCATTCTGCACACTCTTGTGCTTCCCAGAGGGCCTGAAAACAAAATTGACCAACTGTCAATTAGAAAAAGAAGAAAAAATTACATCAAAAAAATTCACTTGATTTCAATTATTACAGGAACGGTTAGACAGCGGGACCTGTTGGCTTACACTTCGTGTACCTGCAACCAAAAAGTCGGAAAATGTTTGCAATATTTTTTGGATTCTTCCTCTAGGCGCTGTGAATGGGATCATATTACGGCTAAAACAACGTTGAAGATAGATCATTTGTCTCACTCATTAGAAAGTGCTTTAAGTTCATATTGGTCTCAATACGAAAAAAATAGGAACAATTTTTCTCAACACTGAAACGTCTTTTTTTGGAATCTGAATCAGGATAATTAAAATTGAAAATTGGGCAAAAAAAACACTAGCTCATCCAGTTCCTTCAGGTGTTTTTCCTTTTGGTCGAAACAATAAAAAAAACTTTTGAGCCTAAATTAGTGTGTACTAAAAAATTTCAAATACCTTCGAATTATGTTTCAATGGGTATCAGAGGTTAAATCATAAGAGGTTTTAACTACAGCAAAAATGCAACTTGGAAACACTTGTTGAAATCAGCTTAAAACTTTTAAATGAAAAATAGCAGTCTAGCCAAAAACTGATCAAAATAAAGTTCACACTACGATTGCTGGCAGCCTGTTTCAAATAACTCAACATCAAAAACGCTGCATAAAACCTATTTTATTTTTAAAATAACTCGAAACTTACGGAGAAAAAAACATGAAATGTATTCAAAGCTCTCACATGATTTTATAAGCTGCCACAACCCCATCTTGGCCCAAACAGATCAGGAACTTCGCATCGGTCGAGAAGAACATTTGCTTTACGCCTCCACTTTCCAAATGGAAACAGACCCTGGCAACCGAGTTCGCATCCAGGGAGTCCAGGGATCCTACTCGGATGGTTCCGTCTGAGGACCCGGAGGCCAGCCACTTTTTGTTGCCATTGATGGCGAGGCACTTGACCACCCCATGGCCGGGAAGCGTGTATGCTGGCTTCATAGGGGCTAATCTTTCACTTGGCTGAAAAGATATACATATTTATGATGTGGAGAACAAAGTAAATTTTTTCAGCAAATTGATAGCGAAGTTTCTACAATCAGAGTTGGCGGTATGATCAATGAAAGACAGCTAATATATCATTGTATTTAGTTGATCGCCATCTGTTCGCTATTTCTCGGAACCCAATGTCTATTTGAAAAATCGGAAACTATTTATGGTACGCACAGGGAACAATGAAACCTAGAAAGGTTACGCAGCATTATTTAGACAACCGCGTAGTCATACTCATCGGTAAGCAGACAAATACTATATTCACCAATCAGAATCGAGATGAGAAAGCAAATTTACGAAATAAGTAATTATTAATTATTAATTTGTTCCTTGTCTCGATTCTGATTGGTTAATATAGTATTCGTCTGTTTACTGACGAGTATAAACACACGGTTGTCTAAATACAGACCGCACTCCCTTAGAATGAACTAAAGCGATGATACTTTGTTGCATGAACTAAAATGTGAAACCTTGAATCTTTTAGTGGCAAACAAGTCATCCTCAGAGTCAATCTGTAAAAAGCCAAACAAATAAAGTTTGAGAATTCAACTTAAACATGAATGCAACTTAAGCAGAATATAAGCGCAAAGACAAAATTTGGAGAGCCATTGACCCAAAAACAAAATTGTGTTATTTGAGATATCAACTGTAATACATCAAAATTAAATTCAGGTTTCTCATGAAAATTGAACTGAATTCCATGCGCATTTAATAGGCGGTACAGAAAAAATAATTAAAAACAAATTTCAAAAGAAGCACAGGTGCCTGTAAGAGCAATTCGAAAGAAATTTTGAATGAAACGAAATTTTTGAACAAGGAATTCTAGAATAACAGATATTCTAGAACATTCTATTTCCAGTCTACCTTCTTGGGGTACTCCTCGATGAGTTTGATGGCATGTATTGGTTTCCTGTGGGTTCCAAATAGTAGATGTTTGTCAGGAGTCACTTGGCATCCGAAGTTGACGGTGCCCAGATTCATACTGATCCTGTTCACTGCACTTTCTTTCAAGTCTCCCTTGGCAGACTCGAAGCAGTCGGAGGATTCTGTGAAACATTATACTTTTAAATACAGGATATAAAGTTTTTCTGATGGATATAAAGTTAATTCAATGGTGTCAGTGCATCGGACGGAAGAACAATTACGTAACACTTAATGTGATATCAACAAAACTTCCCAAATCAAGAGTTTCAAGGAAACTAATCTTAAGCTAGGAAGTATTAATTCCAGTTAGCAGCCTTGCGGCAGCAAGTACACATAGTTTGAAAAGGAAATGGAGAAGAAAATTTGTGGATCCGATCCGTTCACTGATTATTCACTTAAATTACTTTCGAACAGAAGATAGAAGGATGCAAAGATGGTTCGAACATTTGATGTCCAGAAATACATTCGAAATAATGTGGAAAATTTCAGTCTTTTAATTAAGGAAAACTATGAAAAATTAATTAATTAAAAATTGAACTAAACCATAATTTTGACTTACTTTTTAGAATACTGGATGTGACGTCAATTTGCGTGTACCTATAGTGTCCTTCGACCGTCTTCGGGTCATCAGGGTAAGGATTAGATGTCACTATGACCCTCGTAGTATCATCAGATAACTTGAATGTGTCCATTTCATGGACTGTTCCCTGTACAAAGAGGTAGCCTATGGTTTCGAACTTCTTAGAAGCACAGCCATTGAAGAGCCATAGTGAGTCATCAGTCCCGCAGCCCACCATGAAGAAAGATCCGTCTACGCTAAATCTGAGGCAAAATAAAAAAGGAGGAAGATTAAACACGAAGCACAATATTATAAGATGAGAAAGAAATGCGTAGAGTCAAGAAAACTTTCGCGTACCGTAATTTAAAAAAAAAGAAAACAAACAATCGAAAAAAATGATTGAAGCAACAAATTCAGTCCAAATCCGACGGAAGTTCAAAGTTCAGCCACAATGCTTTGAATTGCTCAGAAGACGAGTTGGGAAACCATTTGTAATTCACTCACACATAATGATAACAACTCCAAAATTCACTGTTTGAAATTTTTCAGACAAAGATTTACAAGAATCATATTTACAAATTTTATTTCGTTTTACAGGGGCTTGAGTAATATAAGGCCGAAAAAAAAACATTTTAACAAATAATTCGAAATTTGGAAATTAGTGTCTTAGCAAAATCTGTAGAAAAAACCAAAGGAAAAAAACGATAGCATATACACTAGATAAAAAAAACAACAGTTTAAATAATTATCAAGCCGAAAACCACGGCCAACTTTCATAACGAAAAACAAAATTTTTGATCAGACAAAGAATATAAAAAAAAATTAGTTGAATAAAAACTAAAGAAACATATGAACAGTTTTTAGTATGAACCCCAAAAAAGTGGAAAATGAGAAGAATGATCGGTGCTTTTATGACCGGTGCTAATTTAATAAAAACTCGACCATTTTGAGAAAACTGGATCAATAGATACATTTTTAATACGACTGAAAAATCTGAACATTAAAATCCTTTTTCGAAACTAGACATCGATCACGTTTTTCGTGACGTTTATTCTTTTGCTGTATAATGTAGAGTTTGCCTTCCTTTAACAATAGAAATGGACTGAAATAAAAAAATCAAAAGTCAAACCACGAAAATTCAAAGTTGAGAGTGCACAAACTTTAAGGCTTTTCCCTGAACAAAAAACACAAAAAATCACCACAACCTATATAAGAGTCTTCACTACGTTCATTACTTTTGATAAACAATTTAGGATACAAAAAATATACTAAGAGAAAATAACCGGTATCTATAGAAACATAACAGAAAACAGCTCACGATGACAATCCAAAACGATAATTCTAACTTTTGAGTTAAAAATTATCAAAAACTTTCAGAAAAAAAGAAGACTTTTTGATTTGGTAGCACTTCAAGCCTACTAGTCCCTAGTCTATCAATTAAAAGAGTTACCGTACTTTTCACAAAATATACTACAAAAACAATGAAGGCTATACAAAAAACTAATTAATGACAAAAAACTTAATCGGAAAACTATGCAAAATGAAATTGCACAAAAAGGAAGTTCCTAAAAGTAGCTCCAAAAAGGAAAAAATAAAGAATGAAACAGCAAAAAAGCCTTGAAATATATATTTTTTAAATGTCATCTATCGGACTTGAATCACAGCCCTGGAAATTACGAGTCTAAGGATTTCCTATCTCCGCCATTTGGGCTTGCAATGCTTTTACACTAGCCACCAATAGCGCGAATCGAACACATGTTTTTAATTTGCTAATGCTATGCAGCAAGACTGAACACCAAAACGAACATATTTTTGCAAGTTGGATTAGAAAAAATAGCAGATTCGTGATATGAAGCTACGCTCGCTACCTCGCTTGTGTAAATAATGGCAGCTTGAATCTTACTTGATGGATGAGACCGGGTTCTCTGATACGTGTATTCTGTGTATGACGTGCATGTTGTCAGGAGACACCACACTCACGCAGAGACAGTATCCGGACTCCGTGCCGACCATGACCACTCCACAAGAGGGACTGCTCTCCAGGCATGTCACCTGGTCATACAAAATTCCAACTTTGGGGTGTACAAAATGTATCCGCAATACAATAGGATAGCCAAAAAAACTGCAGTTAGCACTTAGGCAGGAGCACATCAGCGGGTCTCCGTAAAGAGTTGGACAGCTCATATGACGGTCCTTTTCTTCGTGGATAATTCGTCTCACTCTTAATCAAATCATTATACATGACTATACGAAAAACCCTCAATGCAAAAAGAAAAACTTCAAAGTTTGAGAAAATCGACAACTCGCAAAATATTTATCATTAGTTTAAGGACTGCAACTTGCTTACTAGCTAGCTTCGCTTATAATCACGAGTTATGTGATGCGCTTGATCCAGGGTCTGTCAGTAACCTAATTTTGGTTTACTATTTCAAGAAATAAGTTCAATTAAATATCTATTTTTACGAGTTGTCACTCTCTTCAAAACTTGTCAAAATATGTCTTTTTTTCCAAGTTGCCTTATCCTTATGGTCATACATCTATCACATATCAGTTCAAATTTTTGGCACAGTTCAAATTTTTCGCGCAGCTCAAATTTTTGGCACAGTTCAAATTTTTCGCGCAGTTCAAATTTTTGGCACAGTCACCGAAGTTTTGTAGACAGAGAAAAGGAGAAATCAAAAATTTCAAAAATCTTATTGACTAAACGTTCACCACATCGCAAAAAATGTGATTATTTTTTTCAAAAACTAACATTTTTATCAAAAAACTGTTTCAAAATTATGTTTAATAAAATAGCTTAGTAATTGCAAGTAAAAAACTTCAATTGATTGAAGCCGGTGTCTTTCACTCGAGCATCTTTCAATCGAGCAAGTTAAAAAACGGGTTAAAATAAAAAAGCGGATATTAGAAGAGTTACCTTGTCCTGTCCGAGAGCGATGCTTCCGACTAGTTTGTGCACATCCATAGTCCACACTTGCATAGTCCCATCCTCGCGAACAGTCTGGAGAAGAAAAATAGAGTAGGATAATTGCATTGAGCTTTGAAAAACGTATGATTGATCATTTGTTGTGGTTATTTATCACCTTAGTAAAAGCAAAAATACAGGATTGAAAGACTTTTTAATGAAAAAAAAAGTTTTTCTGCTATAACTGCAAACTGTAAGTTTCCGGAGAAATGCGTTCAACGCTTCTAGACAGGAACTTACGGCCAACATGTCGTTTCCCGGGAAAATTGGCTGGGCGAAGGAGAACTTGCCACAACTGTAGTCCTCGTACACTTCCACACTATTCGTTGATGGTTGATAGATAAGAACAGAACCCTAAACACACAAATCTATTTTATTCTTCTAAGAAATCGAAGAACACAAGCTTTGATATAGAACTAAGCCGAGCTTCGCATTACTTACAAAAAAATATTGTAGTATGCAAACTTAAACACAGAGGCGAAGCTGCGCTTTTATTATTATTATAACACTATTTATTATTATTATAACACTAGCGAGAACACGACAAAAAAGAAGCTTTTTGAAATGAAATAAGAAACAACAGAAAAAAGCCTCAAATTAGTAACTCTTTGCCAGGTTTTTTAAGACCATTTATCCGCGAGGGAAAGAAACAACACACTTGCTGTACCGCTGTTGTTGCTCCTGCTTGAGAACTACATGTAATTTTTTTGGTTATTTTTCTGGGCTGGGTAATGTTGCCTCACCCTCACGCAACGATCAAGGATCATGGCGGGTCTCGCACGTCCAACCCTTCGATTGAGAGGCGGAGACCTAATCACTTCACCACTGCTCCCCTCACCACCGCTACGTATCGGATTCGAACTTGCGACCTCGAGATTTAGAGTCTCACACCGTGCCCTCTCGGCCACGACCGCTTAAAAATGTCTATTGTATTTGATGCCACTTTTGCTGCATCGCTTTGACAATTAATTACTATATAAGCTGCTTTGTTTGTGACTAGTGTACAAATAAAGTAGCTATATATCGCAATAAATTGCCAAGGCGATGCAGCAAAAGTGGCACCAAATACAAATAGAGACAATTTTGCAAGTAGTAATTCGGAATATAACAAACTGAAGGCATCCACACTAATTTTGCAAGTAATAAATTGGAAATCACAAAATCAAATTATGTATTTCAAAAAAATTGCGAGATATATTGAGTTAGAAAACTTCTGAAATCGAGTTTTTATTTTTGTTATGTTGTATGATATAAATATTTTTTTCGGTTCATTTGACGATTTCAAAATGTATCAAATGTGTTAACTTATTACGATTCAAATGTCTAGGCACATGCTATCAAAAAGCCGCAATGGTGCCCCAAAAGTGGCACCAATATTTGCGACAAAGATTAGAAATAAAAGAATAGTCGTACTATGACACTGACGCTCACTAAAGTTCGCCAGTGTAAAGACAAAATTGTAAATCTATACTTAAAAAAAACATGCAAGATCTCGAGAAGAAGGGCCTACTATCTGTACTCATCTCATTTACAATTCGTAAATACTGAATTGATGAAATATAACCAAAAGCCGGAATCATCAGTAAAAAAAAGAATTGCGGAAAATCTGCATACCATTACAAAAAAAAAACAATTATCAATTATAAAACTAGAAAAACTATTGCAACTAAATTCTCCGAAGTCCATGCTATGTTAATTAGGACGACAAAACAATAAACAGATGCAAAAATCTACAAAAAAAGCCGGTAAGCAAAAAGTACGGAACCTCGGCCGAGCTCGAAAGAAAAGCCAATCAAAAGTCACTCCGACATCAACGGCGCAAACTTAGTGTAATGGAATTGAATTGCTTGCAAAGCAACTGATGAAGCAACACCGATTCTATTGGACAATAATTTTGGAGAGCAAGGGATCCGAAACAACGACCTCTTGTCTAGAAGAAAAGTTATTCAGTGGAAGCGTCTAATTCCAAAAAAAATTGATCTCGAAAATTGTATGAGAGGGACGTTCTTTTCGCGCAAGTTACTCGCCAATAAAATTTGCAGTTTGGTATCACTCCAAAGCCTTTGGTATTTGAAAAACAAATATCACAACAGTTATCTCTGAATTAATCATGCAATGAAATCAATGCGAAATCAAATTTTTGAATTATTAGTTTTACACATAGGTGAAGTTGCACTTTGCATACACAAGCAAAAATATGACCAACAACGCTACTGGGAAAAACTGAATGAGTAACACTTTGAGTCTACAAAGTTTCTTAAGTGACGCAAACCAATTATGACGCATTAGCAGTACCAGTCAATTTGAAAAAAGAAATTTACCAAATAACATGCCTCAATTTATAGAGCGAACGCATTTGAACTATTACACGAAAAATTTCATTAAAAACATCCGACCCTACCCAGGTTCGAACCCTTTTGTTTTGTTGCGGGTCTCCTTCCCTACCTCTACTCTACAGATCCATGATACATTGAAGCTAAAGTGCTATTTTTAATATAATTGTCTGTGTTAATATCCTTAGCATTGGCTGTACTGATTAGCTGGCTATTGATCGAAATGAACACTTTCAAAAAGAACACATTTTGTCGCAACAATATTTGCGTTACAACAATATTTGCGTCTTAGGTTGGAAAAAAAAGAAAGTTCATACCATAACACAAGCTTTGCTTGTATAAACACATTTAATAATAAATGACTAATTTTTTTATACATCTTTCGCATGCTTTATTTCTCAAATTCTCAAACAAAATTGAGAAGTTTAATTATGTTTTTTTTTCAAAAACTGCGACTGTAGAAATTTGGTCCGAAGCATACAAAATGAAACACTTTATTTGATCATTAATTGCATCATTTAGAACTATTTCATTTTTTTTTAAAAATGACAACCTACACTTGAACAGTTCATAGATATTTGCGCTTTAGAGACCAACCTGCAATTGCAAATAAAAGTTCCTGCATCTTAACTGATGACAATTTTGACGCAGAGGCGAAGCGGAACTTCGCACGACTTTCGATAGCACAAAAACATAGCATTGCAAACTAGCAGACAAAATGTGAAACGAAATCCACTGAGTCGAAAAAAATCGAAAAAATGCCGAATAAACCACGCTTATAAACTATCATATTTTTGTTTCGAATGATGATCAATATGATGAAAACAAGCCAACATAGAAAAAGAAAAAATATTTGAATACTGGCAACTAAGCCTACGAAACTTGGGTAAAATCCGCTTAAGCCAAAAACCAACTTAATTTTTATTATAAAATTTGAGCTGTAACGCTCTGAAAATTTTAGGATTTTTATACTTATGTGTTTCGGACGAAGGGAGGTAAAAACTAACTTATTAAAGTTCCTGTCAAATAACACAAAATTAGGTCACTAAGCCGAAAATAGATAAGTCGAAACAATTTAGGTTGAATAATGCTTTTAGGCTAAAAAAAACGAAAACATACGAAGCCAGGTATCTAAACCTATAAATTAGAGCAGTAAATCAAACCCATTTGCATTTACAATAAAAATGCTTTGTGGCGTTCCAAATAAGCCGACTTAGCATAATTAGACAAACAATAGGACGGCAATTTTTTTTTGAAATGGAGTCTTTTCAGTCTGAAAGAACAACAGAACGTGGCCGGGTTCGAACCTAGGATTTTGACGTCCCACGTGTAGTCGTTGCCTCTCGGCCAAGTTTGCCGGAGGAGTCAAGGTATTTGAGTTTATTATAAATCAAGCTATCAATTGACTTTGTTGAAAAATTGTTAACCTGAAAAAGTTTATACTACGATTCGATAACACTAATCGCAAGCATAAAGATGTCTGATAACCCCAAAAAGTGCAGCAAACGAGATTGAATTTTTTTTTCGGCCGACACTTTTAGGGTTCGGTGTGGTAAAGCCAATGAGAGGCATTCTTTTTCTGCACCACATCCCTTCTCTGTGCCATTGAATTTTGTGCAGACTTCATTAAAGCTGCTGCGCTTTTGAATTTTAGCTAAGAATACAGCTCATATGATGACTACCCAAAAGAAAATCATAGCAGCCAAAAAAGTGAAGCCACTAACAATGTCTGAAAATTCTGGTATTTTGTTTTTCGATAAGAAGATGCAAAAACTTGACTAAAAAACAATGTAACACGACGTGGTTAATTATAAACTTACGTTTTTTGTTCTGAAGACTATCTTGTCATAATACATTGAGAAGTAGCCTGACGCAATGCTCTCGTTAGTGTACAGGTGTGACAACAGCTTCGCCTCAGAAGTGAGCACTGTCTTCAGACTACCCTCCTCCTCTTGCTGGTCTTTTTTCTGACCTTGACCCCTGGTCGAGGTGTGAGAGGAGGTCAAGTCGAGACAGAATATCTGACCGAGATCAGTGGCAACGTAGACTCCATTCTTATGCATGAGAATGACGTTGATTGCACAATCTAGTACAGAATCATCACCTAAAATAACCAAATACATTTTCAGTTTAAAGGTACTTGCTTTCAAAATTAAAGTGATTTTCAGATCATTGCTGATAACCGCTGCTGAGCCCTTGTGTAAATTTTAGGTCATTTGTATGGCTCAAAAACTCAATTCTCTAGCAAAGAAGAACCTTTTTTTTCTAGTGCATAAGCCAGCGTACGACGCCAAACAGATTAAAGTAAATTTGAGTCTGAGAGGTTTTAATTTCTCTATTGAGCAAAAGTTTCACCTAAATGGATTTATTTTTGCAAACTTAAATTTGCGTACGTAATTTCATAAAAGTGAATAATCTATGCAAAAAACTTATCCAAAAACGTATCTAAAAGTGCAGGTTCAATTACATACATTTAGAAACACATACATGCTCCATTTTATGAATTTTCACCTCCATTTTATGCAAAATTTACGTAATAGTTCCTTCTCCTTCTACTGTCACAGGACATTGAAGTAGCAACTTTTTGGATTCAACGAGCAAATGAACGGATTTTTTTTCACGTTTTTGTCGTTTTCTCTTCTACAATTAGAGATACAGGTTTAAATTTTGCCACATACTAGATAAATCAATTTGAGGGGAGCTAACCGACTCAATTTTTGAGAAGTATTATTTTGAATGTGGTAAATAAACAGTTAATCGTAAATAGTTTCAGACGTGTTCCTTCTCTGGAATCTTCCCTAAAAGGAATTTGAATGTGCTCAAATTGGTTCTTTGGAAAGCTGATGATCTTCACTTAGTCTATATGCCGCGTAAAAACCACGGACAAAAGAATTGCAAGATGTACTTGGGCTGGCGTCATAAAAAAGCTGCACGTTTATGAGTATATTTGGGCTGGTGATCAAAATAAGTCAACAAAAAACTGATCCTTCAAATGTTTTGGAAAAGTGACATCTCCGATCCGTGCAAAGAAGTCTTAAAAGCAGTTATTTAGTCTCTAAATTTTGCCCAATTTTTTGTTCTATGCACCCAAGACCTTTTTTTATCTGTATCGTCAAAACCGATAAGACCATTTTCGACGCCGGACTAAGTACTCTTTCAATTCCTTTGTGAGCGGTTTTTAGGCGGCTTGAAGAGTAAGTGAAAATCATCAGCTTCCCAAAGAACCAATTTGAGCGCAGAAATTCACATTCCTTGGGTTCTTTTTGAGAACGTTTCCAGAAAAGAAAACTTCTGCTACCATTTATGGTTAACTGGCTATTTTGAACCTTCAAAACAAGATTTCTCAACATTTGATTCGGTTAGCTCCTTTCAAATAGTTTTAGCTAGCATTTGTCAAAAATTAAATCCTGTATATCTTATTGTACTGTATCTCTTATATAACGAAACGAAAAAAACATGAACAAAAAAATTCGTTCATTTGCTCGGTGAATCCAAAAAGTTGCAAATGCAATGTCCTGTGACTACTCGAGAATGGTCAGAAAAACAATTTATTCAATGCTACTCACCGAGTGGAATCTGATGGAAAATTTCAGTTGTGTGGGTCTCTGTGTCAATCTGAAACGACAAATGGTGTCATGAGTACTGCATGGTAAATAACTTTCCGTAGCCCCAAGAATAGACGCTAATTATTTGCTAAACAAAAGGTAAAAGGCAAATTTCAGTCAGCTTAAATTACGGAGCAAGCAATTAAAAATATATTTAAAAAAAATTAAGTCTTTTAAGTTCTCTAAAACATAATTAATTTTATTCTACTTCTATATGTTGGTGGCCCTATTTTTTCTTCTTTCGTAATTAGCAATCGAAAAAGGCTTAAATTTTAGTTTATTGCCTCGCATTACTTTAAAGAATTTAATGATTAACCCAGTTTTCGATCAAAATTGATGATTATTCTTCAATTTAAAAACCAATTAAAAATTTATTACAGAGAGGCCAAGCGAAGTTAAGCACCGATTACAAATCAACTTATACATAGCATGACAATTAAACGACAGAAAAAAGAAGTAGAAAAAACTTCAAAAAATAGCGAAAATGATCTACCAAAAATTTGCCTGGACATTGTCTTGACTAAAAATCCCTTTCAAGAAAGAATGCCAAGAAGCAAGACATATAAATGTTCACTAAACATCAATATAAATTAACAAAACTTACAAAGCGGTAAAAGAAGCCGACAATTCTTGAGCAGACACACGTTACGCCGAAAAAAAATTTTATTAGAAAAACTTAAAAACTCAAAAAGTTCCCGCCTCGATCGAATATTTTTACAAAAATTATTGCTCCCCAAACTATTCAAAAATAGGACGCTAAGCCGATATATTATAATCTAAAACTTTTTGAGCCACGAAAAAAATTAAGAAAAAATGGACAAATCTGATATCCTAAAATCGGAGTCGGTAAATTTACAACCAACACAAAAAAAACAATTTCGAATAAAAACGGGCATTTGAAACGCAGATATACTCAAAATTTGTCTGTTTGTTGACGAAAGTACAGATAGATCGAGATGACCACCAATTTCAGTCATCCTATGAACAAACTTAGTCTAATACCCGATTGCAACACCCTTGATTATGACACAAGGGTAATGACAGTATACATTATGTTTATCTTACCTTGATGATCTCGCCCCTCTTACATCCGAACAGGACATGACCAGAGGGTAGCCACGTGTGACACAGAGGAACCACAGAATTCTTTTTCTCGTGCCATTCTTAAAGCAGAAATTTGAGATTACCATATTATAGTGTTTGATTGTGGTAGACAAAACTAGAAGTAATTAGAACTGAAAGTAATAATTAAGCATCGCTTACGGGTGAAAAAGAAACATGGACGCTCTCAATCGTTCTTTTGTTTACATGCAAACCTCAAATACCTCTTGAATTTTTTAAAAATTTGCAACTTGGCTTTTGACCTTAAATAACGGCCTACACTAATGATTGCGGTAATTGCAAAAATCAGGACCATTTGAACCTATATGTTCGTGAGGTAAACTATTTATGGCTCTAATACACTGGGACTCACCGGTGCAGTTGAGCGCACTCTCAATCAGATCCCTGGATGCAATGAACTTCAGCTCCGAGAAGTTAGGGTGACTATCTGCACTCTTGTACTCCTCGTCGCTCAGAAGACTATCGTCAAGTACTAGACTGAATTGGCTGAAAAAAGGAGACAGATATTGAAAACAATAAAAACAAGCCTTAAAATGAAACCAGTGACCATTTTTGCGATTTCAGATTTTGGAAATTTTTACTGTCAACATTTCAGATGCTGGAACAATTAAGAGCTCGATTAAAAACAAAATCATTTCAAACTGACTGCGCCGTTTCTACAGATGATTAACCGATGTTGTCGAATGAGGATATGAGCTTCGAAATGAAATTGACATGACATTACCGGCTGGTAAATTTTTCTCTGGAAATATTATCATTAACAACTTTTGTATTAAAACAGTTATTTGTAAAATTTTGTTTGATAAATATTTAAGCAGACATTGAAAATAAATAATTCTGAAATGCTGAAATCAACATTCAATTAGTTTTGCTTACTTTGGATTGATGAAATGGTTCTTATTGGACCTCTCTATACTCCAGAATGTGATACATTCCTGGTTGCCTGAGACAAGTTGTCGCCAGTTGGTGGGATTGAATGAGAGAGAAGAAATCGGTCCATTCTCGTTGCCAACACTGTTTTTGCACAAAATCTCTTTTGTCTGCCAGTTCCTAGAAATAAATTTCTAGTAGGCACTAGAATGGTCGCACACTATTATTTTTTGCAAAAATTAATCATACAGGAGAATTGACACATTGCAAGCATAACCCATAAAAAAAACATTCGAAACACAAAACAGTAGCTTTGAATTGAATTCAAAAAAATTGAAGTAACCGGGCGAATTACTTGTGGTATAAGGCAAACTATGCAGAATATAGAAAAAAATATCGAGAAAAATCAAAACCAAGCTAAAACATTATTCACAATCAAAATGGTATGAAATTATGAAAAATGTATCATTTACAAGGAGGCAAACCAGAGCTTCTTACAATTTGCGATACAACACAAACATAGTATGCCAAACTAGCAGTCCGAAAAAGAGATGAAAGCCAAAAGACTCACACGCATAGAAAACTTGTTTCGCTCATCCAACGATGCAATATGATTAGGTAAAAACGAAAGCGAGAAAAAAATTATACCGAACCGAAATACGTAATTTTAAAACCAACATGAAACAAATATTCACACAAAGGTTGAAGCGGAGCTTCGCACCGTTTACGATAAAATCGGGAAAAAAACTGCCAAAAAAAACTAGAAGTATCAAAATGGATAAAGCTAGTTTGTAAAACAAACATACCAAAAAAGAAAGAAATAAGCATCAGAAGAAAACTTACCAAGCGGAAAAAAGTCAAAAGTACCTGAGCAATTTTTAAATGTTCAAGACCCCTCTCCATATACTCGAAACAGAGGTATTTTTTAATATCTAATGCTGTTTCAACAAGATTTCAAGAGCTTCCATATGGTTTAAAAATGTGACATTCGACCAGAATGGACAAAATGCAATCTCTGCAGTTTAAGAAATTTTAGCAGCGGACCTTCCGAGTTAGTGATTTTGAAGGATTAACGACGTTATTGGGATGATTAGTAGAACGGTGAAGGTCAAGATATTCTAGTATTTTGAAATTTTAAATTTTCGAAGTGATGACGTAACATTTCTGAGAAACGTCAGAAACGGCCATTTTGGCGAAAGAGCTAAAAAGAAACAGAACAACATTAGTTGCGATTGCGAGAACAACGGAAATTGTGATTAAGAAACGACAACGAATCACGGAGTTGACAGAGAACGTTCCGAGTTGCAACTATTGTGTCGCTACAATAGTTGCAAGGCCGTTGCGAACAACGGTGAAGGGTGGAAGACAGCCTTCCGTGTTACGGAGAAATCAAGTTTAACGTGCTTGATTCAGTGGATTCAAGAATCCGGAAGGGTTTCGGGACTGAAACTTTCATTACTTTATATGAACTTTTAGCTTCCTGTCATGTCCTGAATTGAATTTAATTAACAACTGGATTCATTTTGATAAGGATGAGAAGCTAGGAGTTGAGGGAAAGGGTTGATCCATCTTCGATGGAGATGATGATTTTTATCTACTGAACAAAAACAATAGTAATATAATAAATAGTAGTAGCCCTGTTTTTAGGAGTGACCTCGTGGTCTGGGGATACTGAAACCCAGCCATGAGCTCACTATTTCTGCATGTAATTAAGTTAATTTGAGTGTTTTGACCGAAGCCGAAAGCAGTAACGTTTTTTGTCGACCCGATGTTAGAAAAGACCACCGAAAAGTACTGGCTTGGTAGAGACGGTGAAAAGCATATAAAGCTCTGTATAGACGTTAGCCAGTCGTCTTAGGACTTAGTTTTATTTTCCGTCGATATGTATCTTCCGGGCGAATGTTACAAAACCTCGGCCCAAGTGATATTTTTAGATAAAAGTCGTCAAACAGTAGCATTTTATCATGATTAAAGATTTCGGCTAAATAGTACGATCTAAACAGAAAAGTCCTTTTCTTTTTTTCAGCAAGCGAATTATTAAGAAAAAAAATACCATATGATGATTTTGAAGTCACCAACTCCACTGTAGCTAGCAAGGTAGTTTCCCTCGTGACTAAAGGCGAGAGCGGTGTATTCTAGCTCAGCTCCATCTGTGAAACAGAAAACAAGTTTTAGTACTATAGTATTGATTCTAATCAAATACATTAAGAACAAACCTCCTAATTCATCTTTGAGAACTGCTTTCTGTTCGAATTTGGCAAAAGTATGAACGAAAATCCTGGGCTGCGGAAAAACTTCCGAAAAGGCAACTAAATTAAATTTCGTGTCCGCCACCAGAACTCCGACTCCTGAAATATACTGTCTGGATGAGCGCTTATAGCTACTAAGGCCGTTCAACGACAAGCTTCGCTTAACTGTCAAAAGATGGTTCAGCGATCTTTGCCAAAATGCTAGATAAACTATCAAGATTGCCTTCAGCCACGCAAAAAGTACCAATAATTTTTTGAAGGTTTGATATACCTACCTTCACCGGGGGACGAATAGCAAAAAGTTTGCTTTGAGAAGGTGTCAAAAAACTTGATAAATGAGTCGCACTTGAAAACCAGAACTGAGTTGTCAATATACTGTATAGCATCATAATTTTCGCTTTCCACCCAGCTAAAAACAACATCGCAAATTTTAAATTAGTTCATTTTCATTCATATCAAAAGAGAAAAATTACAAACCTAAGCTTCAACTCTCCGAAAGAGTTCATTTTACCTGAAGAAGTTCCAAAATGAGAATTTTACTAATATAACTAAAAGTATACATTTAAATGGTGGCGGTTCACAAGATGTGAGAACAGGTTTTTAAGCGACGTTTTACACTTCTAAAAATTTAAGTACACTTGTGGAAAAAATTAAGCGCAAATTCACGTTTTCACTCTCTAAAAGGACGTTTTTAATGCCCATTTTGGACATTTTCTTTTATTTTAGCAAATTTTTTATGCAGACTAAGAGCAAATCATCAGACCTACTGTCTACTAAAGCATCAATATTCAATTTCAAAGACTTACCAATGTAATCCGTATCTGAAATTGCCAGATTTCCTAACCTGCACTAAGTTTTGCATCGGAGTGATCTTTTTCTCGTATAAATTGTGTTAAAAAATTGCTCATACCGCATGAAACATTCCCAGCGAGAGAATTGAAACAATCAGTGTGAATGTTTTACTAAACTCGGCAGTTACCTTTTTTTTTCACGCGGATTGGAAAAATTAGTGCGGATGAGGAAATCTGGCAATTTCAGACCGGATTACATTGGTAAGTCTTTGAAATCAAGATTCAATATTGCTCTTGGTATATATTGCTCTTGGTAAATTTAAAAATTTCGCTGAAAAGCAAACCAGTGTTGTCCAAAATGGACATAGAAATAAAGCATTTCAGAGAGTAAAAACTCGAATTTGCGCTTAAATTTGTCCACTAGTGTATTTCTAAACGATCACGTCATGTTAATGATGCATTACAATTTTAACCGAGTGACTTGCACATTTTCACACTGTCATAGAAAAAAAGCGAATGACCAATGGAAAAGCTATACTCAGAATGTGTAGTTTTAAGAAGTTCTGTTCGAAAGTTTAGACAGTACTGCTAGTTTTTGTGTCTTCTTGTTTTATTTTTGGAATCGTCATGTAAATCTATACATTCACAGAAATCGAATTCTTGTAAAAATTGAAGAAAAAATCTTCTGATTTCTACATTTTGAACGAACGTGCAATATAGTTGATGTTTTTGCCTTCTGATTTCTACATTTTGAAAGATTTAATCATTCAAAACATTTTATCAAATTTAAAGTTGTAATAGTTTTTAATCTTCATTACTGGTCATCTTCATTACTGGTCCAAATATGCCACCCAGGAAGCAGCCGCAAGACAACGGTACCTCCAATATGGAGGGTAAAAACCATCAAATTGAATGTGATTGTGGCATTTGGACGGATATCTGGGTGCCTACACGTATTCCCCGAAGTTTTCGGGACAAAAAATTTCTCTGTGGCTTCTGCGCACAAGAAAAAATAGAAAAGGTAGAAGAAAAAATCGAAAAGTTAGAAGAAAAGCTCAATCAACCCACCCACAATCCAGAACCTACCAAAACTGCACCAGTCAGCTACGCAAACATTGTTCAGAAGGTTATGGATGAAGAATCTGACAGAGCGAGACGAACAAAAAATTTCGTTATTTACGGAAGCCAACCTACTGAAAACGACGAAACACTTGTAAACAACAAGCTTGATGTCATAGGAGTACCTACCACATTCTCTACAAAACGTATCGGAGGGATCAACTCGGAAGGTCAACAACTACTCCACGTCGTGTGCAAGGACGAGGCTACAAGAAATAAAATACTGAAAAACGCCAAAAAGTTACGGGATAAACCTACTACGAAAGATCTATACATAAACGCCGACATGACGAAAGCTGAAATTAAAATGCGCTATTCTTTGAGAATGGAGCTGAAGAAAAAAAGGCAAGACGACCCAGAAAACGAGTTCATGATAAAGCGCAATCAAGTCATCCAAGTCAAGAAATGACTATCCCTTTGCCTGTGGAATATTGAAGGAGCAAAGTCCACCTTCGCTATTTGTGACTTACATATGCGCTACGACTTACTCTTACTCACTGAAACTTTTGACACTGCTGGCTTAGAGTTGGCCAATTTCATATGCTACAACCAACTAGCACAAAAACGAGGTCGTGGCAGACCCATTGCAGGTTTAACAATCGCCATTAACAAGAAATTGGATGAGATTTGTGACGTACTCTTCAAAAGTAAAGAATCACTTGGCTTGAGACTACGCAAATCCGACATGAACGTCATTGTCTCATATTTTCCTCCCGACACGCGGATTGACGAAATACTATTCAAGCTGACCAATGCCCTCTCCTATTTTGATCTTGGGAAGCCAACAATAATTGGCGGCGATTTCAATTGCAGAATTGACAACTCACAACCTCGAGGTTGCGAGCTTATAGACGAAATGATTGAACTCGGATTTACGTGCCTGAATGAACCAGATGTCCTCACCTATATCTGCCATAACGGAGCGAGCACAATTGATTTTATTTTCCACAACTCTTCCGCAATAGTCGGACCACTATCTGTATTACCTTCCCATTTCACCAAGCACAACCTGGTTACATCCGAAATATCGATTAAGAATTCGAAATATTCCTCAAGAGCCGGCTCAATACGGTCGGTTGACCTGACTCAACTCGAAGAAAAAATCGCACAAATAGATTATGTCGGTGACGTAAACAGATATTACGAGAGCTTTGTTGAAGCCTGCAAATCCGCCGCCATATTGAGAAAGCCCAGAAAATCACCTCCGTGGTTTGACAAAACCCTTTACAATTTGCATAATCAGTTAAAATTTTCATACAAAAACAAGCAAACTAACCTACTGGAGTACAATTCGTCAAAAAGAATATTCAAGCGACTCTGTAGACAAAAAAAGGCGACTCATATTCAAAACAGAGAATTCGAAATCATCGAGCTTGCTCAGTCGGACAAATCGAAATTCTGGGGTATTCTCACAGCTAGTTCGTCGAAAAAAAGTCAGAGCTCAGTCTCAATGTCTGATTGGGAATCCCATTTTGACGAGTTATACAATGTTCAAGTCTCCAGCTCCATAGAGATCAACGACTATGTGAACCTTAGTCAGCACAATTACGCCGATGACGATCCCCCAAACTGTGATTTTATCAACCGAGCTATTAGTACGGCCGAGATTGTGAGGGTCTTGTCGAAAACAGCAGGCAGAAAAGCTACAGGGCCTGACGGTATTTCAAATGAGCTGCTTAAATCTTCTTTTGGAGTCAGCTATTTATTTTTGACAACCCTATTTCAGACGTGTTTCAGATATTCAACTTTGCCAGACGTGTGGAAGACGTCGTACATTGTGCCTCTTTACAAGGGAAAAGGTCCAAAAGACTCCCCTTCAAACTACAGAGGCATCAGTTTATTATCATGCTGCTATAAAATCTACTCCGGAATTATTCATGACAGAATCTATCAATGGGCTGAAGGAAATTCCATACTCCCGCGAAACCAATATGGTTTCCGAAAAGGGCTATCCACGATTCACGCAATAAACGAGCTCAAATGCAATGTTCAAAGTGGTATAGACACATATGCACAATACTATGTCTGTTTTGTGGATTTCAAGAAAGCGTTTGATACGGTTGACCGCAATACCCTGATTCAAAAGCTCATCCGACTTGGCCTGCATGGTGAAATTATCCACGCGCTAGGTGAAATATGCTCAAAGAATTTTCAACAGGTTGCCGACGGCTGTAATCTTTCAAACAAAATTCCCCAATTAATTGGCGTGACCCAAGGCGATAAGCTCTCACCTTTGCTTTTTTCGTTATTTATAGCTGATCTCCCGGATTTTATCGATTCCAATCAATGCTTGATCATTTTATATGCAGATGATCTAATCATAGCCAGTCCTTTCCTTCTAGATGTTAAAAGATCGCTGAATGACCTCTACGAGTACTGCAGAATTAACAAGCTCACTGTCAATGTCCAGAAAACCAATATGATGAAATTCAGAAAAGGTGGACCTCTGAAAAAGTCAGACAAAATTTTCTACGGATACGAAGAAATCGGGTTTACAAACTCATTTTGCTATCTTGGCTACAACTTATCACCGTCCCTTACCATCACAACCCACCTAAAACACTTGGTCAGATCAGCTATAAGGTCAACGTTTGCGCTCCAACAGAAATTACCGTTCTCAAAAATTAATTTTACGTCGGCCAAAAGACTATTCGAATCAATAGTGTATCCGGCGGCGATGTATGGAATCCAAACAATCGATCATGGCGTGTTTTCCGCTCAAATAGACTCCCATGTCAAACAAATCCAAGGAATCTTCTGGAAAAAATGGTGTGGACTTAGCGTTTACACCAGGAACACATCCCTCTTGCATCATATTCTTGGAGACGACTTCCTAAGAATAGATCGCGCGAGCCCCTTAAAAAGAAGAATTATTGCTCAATATTATGCAAATGAGGCCCATCATCTTATTTGCTTAGTCGAAAGGTGTTTTGAGTCCCAACTGGACTGTATTTGTAGATATTGTAACAATAATATTGATTTCAGACATTTAGACACATGTCATGGCTTCACAGAATGCTCTAACACTGTGGAGAAGTTATTGAAGGCGACACGACAAGCGTAAAACAACTTATCAATTTCTCCACCTTTTTTGCACGTGCTTTTTATTTATACAATATACACGCGGTTATTATTTTATTACACATTTGTCCATTTATTGGATGTTTAATTTACTCTTTCTTCTACATTTTGAAAGAGAAAAATCTATTTTTTTTTTCAAGTATACCTACGGGTGAAGGCTTTTTTGCCCCCCATTGAGTAAAACCAAGTCATGAGTCAACAACAACTGACGGAATCTCAGCTACCAATTACTCACGAAGTGCTGATTGAAACGGAGACAAATTTCAGAAATGCGCTAACAGCAAACAAATCGGCGACACAAACAAAACAAATCCAAATAATCAAAATCATCCCCCCATTCTCGAGAGAAATTGTAAGGTCAGCTGAAAATCTGGCGCAGGCATATCGAAGTTGTGCTTCCGATATACTTAAACAATTCCCCACAACAATGCAACAGAAGATGACAATCTCAAAAACAATAACCGTGACGAAAGATGACCGCAAACTTCATACACTGACAGTTATTGCTCCCCCCGAAGCA